AAACTAAAAGTTATTTTTTATCAAAACTTTAAATATTGTTTTCTCAAAAACTAAAAGTTATTTTTCAAAACGGGTTGGTTCATTGGAAAGAGGACACTTTTATTAACACTTTGGGAAGTTTTCATATTCATATTCCAAGAAATGAATTTTATACGAATTTTTAAAACTTAATCGGCGAAAATTGCATAATTCGAAAAAATTGTCGATCATTTCAAAAATTTATTTTTCAAAAACTAAAAGCGATTTTTCAAAATGGGTTGGTTCGTTGGAAAGAAGACACTTTCATTAACACTTTGGGAAATGTTCATACTTATATTCCAAGAACTGGATTTTATACAAATTTTTAAAACTTAATCGGCGAAAATCGTTAATAATAATAAAATTAGCAACCTGATATAAATAAAGTTGTATTCAATGAAAAAGTCCTATTGGGGTTGAACTTGATTATTATCTCGACCGAGTAAAATGTAATATCGCTCCCACAGAAAGCAAAAAACGATTTTTATTTTTGGCTTTTTCATTGCTTTGTACTTTAGATGGGTTTTATGGTACAACAAATAAATAAGGATTTTATTTGCACATCGTTTTATTAATATTTGTTCAAATTACAAACGAAAATGTTTCTAACATTTTTTTTTTTAATGGAATCATAAAATTTTTAGTCGAAAAAGTTAATAATGGCAATATTCTTCAATGGTTCTCACTGTGCAAGGTTTGAAACAACACGCAGAAACGATCTGTCTTCGTCCTATTTGATTTTGAAGCATCCTGTTAGTTCTTGACGACGAAATTTCTTCCCCAAAATTAGATGAGTCGAAATCATCATCTAAAATAAATTTATATTAAACATTTAATAAAATTAAAAAATTTTTAACCTTTACTCAAATTTCTTCTGTAATATTTTGAGCAAACACTCGACACCAAAAGATCTAATCGATCCCCACAAGCTTGATAAACATCTTCTGAAGAAACAAAACTTACAAAAACAGAAATTACCAATAAAAATTTAAACACCATTTTTGAAACACCTTTATCGTACGGCGATTAAGATTTGAACGTGATTATGGCCTAGGTGAAGTAAGTTTATATACTGTAGGGGTGCTTTCAAACGAACCGAGTTGAATTATTCGAGGTGATGTGCTTCGATTTTCCAGATCGTTGGATTTTAGCAACCCGACGTATATTCGTAAAAATAGATTTCAAAACGAAATCGATTTTTGCTTTATTTGAAATTTGTTTTAATGTTTAGAACAATATTGCTTATTTAAATTGGTGCGGAATTTAATTAAATAATGCTAATGCTGTAATGGAACCAAATCGAAATTGTACAACGCGAAAAGGGAAAAACACAATTTTAATTGTCCTGTTGTGTGCAGGTGAATGAGTTCAAACAACTGTTCGTATGGAAAATAGAGAACGCAAGGTAACTATTTTAATTGCAAGAGTAACCTAAATTGGAAATGTTGCTTATCTAATTATATTTAGAGAGTTTTAGTACTCGATTAAATTGGTTAAAATTAATCAGGTATATTCTTTCTTATTTCCCACAATGTTTAATTAAAGTCAAGGTCACGTCAAGGTCAATGCATTTATATGCATAAAGTTAAGGACATATCAGGGTAAATACACCTAAGTTGCTCTTCACTCCTATTTGCCGATTGATGAGGATGTTCATCAAAAGGTCAAGGAATCTCAAGGTCAAAGTCACACTACCTTGAGACCTTGAGATTCCAGGAAACAGTTCATCAATCTGCAAATATTGGCAACATTTAATTTAATTTGAATCATCTCTATTTTTAATGGTAATGATATGATGTATATGTTAAATTAAAGCTTGAAGACTCTAGTTTATGATATGACATAAAAACTGTATGATAATATTAATAAAATTTCCTGAAAAACGGTACTAAAGAAAACACTGTCAAATTTGCAAAAAATCATATGCTTGAAGACTATAGTTTATGATATGATATAAAAACTGTATGATAATATTAATAAAATTTCCTGAAAAACGGTACTAAAGAAACTGTAAATTTAATTAAACTGGTAGTAGTTGGTAGTAACTGGTAGTAGTTAAACTAGTTACTTACTATCGGGTGATCATCTTGCTTGATTTATCTCACACCTAAAACAGTGGAAACAGAAATGGTCGTATTGCAAGGTAGAGGAAAGGTTCAACCTTGGGACCTATTTGCTCTACAAACAGAGACGAAAGCCAACGTATGATAAAATAACCATTTTTATATCATTTTTGCATTTCTCAACTGGTGCAAGAAAAGGCAGAAACTGAAAGAAAACATATAAGAAGACTGTAGGTATCGAGGAGAGTTCCTTCTCACACTCTTGGCCGAAACAGTTTATTCACCTATACCACCTTTAAGACACCAACAGTTCACTGGGTCGAATTGGGTTAGGTTGGGTTCTATTAAAATCCTCTTTATACAGCCTCTTTATTCTAGCTACTGTTTCTCTTATCAATCTACTTCTTTTCTTTGTCGTTACAGTCTCCATGAAGACTCTATTACCAGTCATTTTCCAATCTTTCTATCCTCTAGTTCCTGTGTTGCTTTTTCAGTATTTCTAAAGTTACCCAAGTTCTTTTCCCAATATCAACTTAATCTTTTCAACTTTCGTCCATTCTCTTTCTTCTATTACTGGCCTTCTTCGCCCATTTCCTTCATGGCCTTCAGTTACCAGTCTAGTAACATTCTTCCTTTAGTCTTCTTGCAGCGTCGGATAGGGAGACCTGATTTTGAACGAGGGAGATCGGTCTTTTGCTGCTCAAGTTTAGTTAAAATATAGTATGAGTCCCTGACACAGCTGCAATTTCCTTTAAGTTTGAATGTTTTTTCTCATGGTCCAATTCATAGTCCAAAGGTCTAACAATCTGGGCTGTAGTTTGTAAGACAGCTGCAAAAACAACCCTATTTCTTTGAGGAAAACGGCCACACTGCGGTGGTTAATTCCGAGCGCTAGCTGATGATGATCACTGACTGATTTCAGCAGAATAAAGCTCAGCAAGCACTTCACGTACGTCTATGGCTAAAACTTTGCTAATAGATTCGAGAAAATTATAGAAAATGGAGATCAACATATGAGTGATATGTAAGCCTATTTCCCTGTTGTTTGCTCTGGTTCGTCTTTCTCATATGATGCTTTGCCACGCAGATTATTTTCTGATAATAATTTTAACTTAAAATTAATTAGCGACATTGATGTGCTAAATGTAGTACACTGTATATCATCCAAGGCAGCTGGTTGTGGTGTTTGCCTCACATATTGCCGTACATTGTTCATTTAATTAATGTTTGCATTGAATATTCTGTATTTCCTAAGAGCTGGATAACGTCTATAGTCAAACCTGTTCCTAAGACATAGCACCTAACATAGCACCACGACAGCTTTGACCGGTGATCTTCTAAAGGCCCACACATCACTACTTCCATGTCAGTTAAGGCATGTAGATTATCATATGTATGCAGATCATTTACAACTGTATATATAGTATGAACCAAGGAATTATGAAGACACTCCCCGCAGGTTGCAGGAGGATTTACTCTTAATGCTGGCAAATCGGTGGTGATGCTGTTTGGGGGTGGATGTGAGATATTGGCGGAAAATATACGGCTAGGGATCGGAGGAGTCCCGATACCATTTATATAGATCATTTAGTGCTTGTGAACAACAAGATACTGCTTGTATCCTCATAAAAGGCTAAATATTGCTGATAGAAGATCAGTTGGCTTTTGTAGAAGTTTAGATCTTCATAAAAAGCCCCACACTGCCGGCAGTAGACTTGATATTGTTGATAGACGGCTAAATACTATCAATGGAAGAATAGTGAATGCTTTCAGAAAATCAGTTAGTGCTTGTTGATAAGAAAATACTGCTTACATCCTCATAGAAAGCTAAATACTACTGATAGAAGATTACTTGGTCTTTGTAAAAGTTTAGATCTTCATAGAAAGACGTTGTTGGTAGAGAACTAAATACTATCAATGGAAGAGTAGATACTGCTTGCAGGAAATTACTTAGTGCTTGTGAACAATAAGATACTGCTTGTATCATCATAGAAAGCTAGATACTGCTTGAAGAAGACTAAATACTATCAATGGAAGAGTAGTTACAGCTTGCAGAAGATCACTTGGTCTTTGTAGAAGTTTAGATCTTCATAGAAAGCCCCATGCTGCTGGCAAAAGACTTGCTATTGTTGATAGAGGGCTAAATACTATCAATGGAAGAATAGCGATTGCTTTCAGAAAATCAGTTATATGGTTGCTGATGCAAGGAATTTGGGTTTAGTTTTGGACAACAAATTTAGATTTAAGAATTTCGAAATACGTTTCTTCTTTCTTTCTTCTTTACATTCTATTACTGGTCTGTTTTTACTGTATTTTCTTTGAAGACTCTTTCTTTCTCATTTCTTTCACCCAACCTCTTAATCTCGTTTTAATTTCTGTTTAGTATTTCTTCTATTACCATTCTTCATCATGCCTTTCCAGTGTCTATTCAATCTCTTTCTTCTACCACCAACAATTTCTTTTTATTCTATATCAAATCCCTCACAGGCAGTTATCTCTCTCTTTTCTATGCAGTCTTTTTTCTTCTCATTGCATATTCTGTCAAATCCTTCTCATCTCTGTCCAGTTTTTATCTTGCCTTTACAGGTTCAATTCAGTCTCAATTTTTTTGCTCAGTATATTTTCCTTTACTAGTTTGTCTTTAGCCTCTTTCTTCTTTTATCAATCATTCCAGTATTCTTATTCTCTGCCAAGTTCCTCTGCTGACTGTACAGTCTCTCTGAAGCTCCTCTCTACCCTGTATCTTTGTTCCCTTTCAGACTATTTTTTTTCTTTTTTCTATTACTGGTCATTTCCAAAACTTCCTATTCTCTGTCTAGTACGTTTCATGCCTTTTTTGTCTCTCAGAAGACCCCATCGCTTCTTCTGCGGGTACCATTTTCCTATTTTCAACTTCTGTCCAATCTTTTTCTACGATTACTAATCTTTTTCAAGTTTTCTTCTTCCATATCTATGTCCTTTATACCTTTACATTCTATTACCGGTCTGTTTTCGTTCTATTTTCTTTGCAGGTTATTACCATTCTTCATCATGCCTTTCCAGTGTCTATTCAATCTCTTTCTTCTACCACCAATGATTTTTTTCTATTTTATATCAACTCCCTCCCGGGCAGTTATCTCTCTCTTTTCTGTCTAGTCTTTTTTCTTCTCATTGCATATTCTGTCGGATCCTTCTCTTCTCTGTCCAGTTCCTTTCTTGCCTTTACAGGTTCCCTTCAGTCTCAATTTTTTTACCTAATATATTTTCACTTACTAGTTTCTGTGATTCCAGTCTTCTTATTCTTTGCCAAGTTCCTCCATTCCAGTCTCTCTGACACTCCTTCTCTACACTGTATCATTGTTCTGTTTTCGACCTTTTTTTCTTTCTTCTATTACTTGTCATTTTCAAAACTTGCTATTCTCTGTCTATTACCATTCTTCATCATGCCTTTCCAGTATCTATCCAAACTCTTTCTTCTACTACCAATGATTTTTTCCTCTTTCTAGCTTCTGTTTAGTCTCCTTTTTCTATTGCCAATCTTCTTTTTCTCTTCCTAGTACCTTTTCTGCCCATACTCTTTTCGTATTCTCTTCTTGCCTTCACAATAATTCTTTACCCATCCTCTTTTTAGTTCTTCTTATTTCTGTTTAGTATCTATATTCATTTAATCCGTTTCTTGCTTCATCCATGTCAATAATTAAAAGATCAAACTACTATCTCTAAATTGCATGCAGCACACTCATTGCATGAGTTAATCAAAACCTTAAGAAATAACTTAAAAACTAGAATGTTTCTACTTAAAATCGTATTTAATTAAAAAAATAAATTTAATGAGAATATATTTTAATCCGTTTAGATGCTTGCGTGAGAAATTCGCAAACATAGCAAATACTAACGAACCGTTAAGCGTATTATGACACGTGCTAAATCGATTTGAATATGTCTCACTTCCCTGGTATACCTACACAAACACCACGTAAATTAAATGGGACTATATAAAGAGTTTAATCTTGTAAAATACAATAAACGATAGATTAATTTCCTAACAAGAAGATCTATTATAATTCAATTCATAAAAGTAAACATTTTAAAATAGATGTTTATTTGATTAGTTTTGCGTCTCATTTTTTAGATGGTTTCGACAAAGTTATGGATCAGCGTTTTAATAATAATCGCTTACTTTTCAAATAGTTATACAATGGAAAGTTACCAAGCGTGTGGTGACCATCTAAGCGAATTATTATCGTTTGTTTGCCAATCAGTTTATACAGAAAAACGAACGATTAACAAAGCCAGTAAGTAACATTAATTTTTTGTAATCGATAAAATCACAAAAATATTCAAACATTTTAGGTTCTTTACAAGATATTTTAACAAAATTTTCTGAAAATGAATATTTAGAAGAATATGAAAATAAATTAAAATTAAAAAAAAGTTTTATTTCAAGACAAGTTGCTGATGAATGTTGTAAACGATCTTGTTCTCGCGGCACTTTGTTATCATATTGTGGTTTTTAATGAATTTAATGAACTATTATTATTGTTGTATTGTTTTGTTTAATTAAAATTTTTTCCTAAAAATAAATTTAATTTGCTTTTTTGTTTATATTAGATTGTAAAGTCATAAACACAATTAAATTTTAAACGTAAATCAATAGATTACAATTTAAAATCAACAGAGGTTATCTTGTGACTTGATTGTTAGTGGAGTATAAAAGAAAATGTTATTTATTGTTATTATTAATGTTAAAAATGGAAGTAAAAATGATGGTGTTTAAATTATTGCTAATAATTTCCATTGTGATTACTGTTGGGACTTCAGAAAAGCGGTATCGAGTTTGTGGATACGCATTGGCTGAACTAGTGGCGAATGTTTGTGACAAGTATCATCCGCAAAAGAGAAGTATTTATGACCACAGTAAGTATAATACTTTCCTCAGAATATTTATCTTGTAATTTCCAAATTTACTACGATCTTATTTTAGATTTCATGGAAAATATGAATTCAGAAAATAAATATAATTCTCTGATTCGTCACCGTAGACAAGGTATTGCGGATACGTGTTGTTACAATGAATGTACCCTACAAGATATTCAGGAGTATTGCAAGTGAAATTGATTTGTGTTAACATATTATTATAAGATTAACCTAAAAAAGGCGTATCTCCGTGATTAATAAAAGTAAAGATGCAAAATTTGGTGGATTTATTCAGAATTAAATACTGAATTTAATGCATCAACCCGTTTGTTAAAGTCTTTATTAGTTCTTGAGAAATAAAATCTCAAAGATTATTAAAAAACTTGATTTGAGTTGACGTATAAGTATAAATTTAAAACTTTGTATCTTAGAGATTAATGAAAGTGAAGATACTAAATTATACATATTTATTTAGAATTACATGGTGAATTTAATGCATCAACCCGTTTGTTGGTATCTCAATTTGTTCTTGAGAAATAACTCCCAAAAGATGATCGAAAAAATTGATTTGTGTTAACGTATTATTACAAGATTAACCTAAAAAATGCGTATCTGCGTGATTAATAAAGGTGAAGATGCAAAATTTGGTGGATTTATTCAGAATTAAATAGTGAATTTAATGCATCAACCCGTTTGTTAAAGTATTTATTAGTTCTTGAGAAATAAAATCCCAAAGATTATTAAAAAACTTGATTTGAGTTGACGTATAAGTATAAATTTAAAACTTTGTATCTTAGAGATTAATAAAAGTGAAGATACCAAATTATACTTATTTATTTAGAATTACATGGTGAATTTAATGCATCAACCCGTTTTTTGTTGTCTCAATTTGTTCTTGAGAAATAAATTCCAAAAGATGATCGAAAAAATTGATTTGTCTTAACGAATTATTACAAGATTAACCTAAAAAATGCGTATCTGCGTGATTAATAAAAGTGAAGATGCAAAATTTGGTACATTTATTCAGAATTAAATAGTGAATTTAATGCATCAATCCGTTTGTTAAAGTCTCTATTAGTTCTTGAGAAATAAAATCCCAAAGATTATTAAAAAACTTGATTTGAGTTGACGTATAAGTATAAATTTAAAACTTTGTATCTTAGAGATTAATAAAAGTGAAGATACCAAATTATACATATTTATTTAGAATTACATGGTGAATTTAATGCATCAACCCGTTTGTTGCTATCTCAATTTGTTCTTGAGAAATAAATTCCAAAAGATGATCGAAAAAATTGATTTGTGTTAACGTATTATTACAAGATTAACCTAAAAAATGCGTATCTCCGTGATTAATAAAAGTGAAGATGCAAAATTTGGTGGATTTATTCAGAATTAAATAGTGAATTTAATGCATCAACCCGTTTGTTAAAGTCTTTATTAGTTCTTGAGAAATAAAATCTCAAAGATTATTAAAAAACTTGATTTGAGTTGACGTATAAGTATAAATTTAAAACTTTGTATCTTAGAGATTAATAAAAGTGAAGATACCAAATTATACATATTTATTTAGAATTACATGGTGAATTTAATGCATCAACCCGTTTGTTGCTATCTCAATTTGTTCTTGAGAAATAAATTCCAAAAGATGATCGAAAAAATTGATTTGTGTTAACGTATTATTACAAGATTAACCTAAAAAATGCGTATCTCCGTGATTAATAAAAGTGAAGATGCAAAATTTGGTGGATTTATTCAGAATTAAATAGTGAATTTAATGCATCAACCCGTTTGTTAAAGTCTTTATTAGTTCTTGAGAAATAAAATCCCAAAGATTATTAAAAAACTTGATTTGAGTTGACGTATAAGTATAAATTTAAAACTTTGTATCTTAGAGATTAATAAAAGTGAAGATACCAAATTATACAAATTTATTTAGAATTACATGGTGAATTTAATGCATCAACCCGTTTGTTGCTATCTCAATTTGTTCTTGAGAAATAAATTCCAAAAGATGATCGAAAAAATTGATTTGTGTTAACGTATTATTACAAGATTAACCTAAAAAATGCGTATCTCCGTGATTAATAAAAGTGAAGATGCAAAATTTGGTGGATTTATTCAGAATTAAATAGTGAATTTAATGCATCAACCCGTTTGTTAAAGTCTCTATTAGTTCTTGAGAAATAAAATCCCAAAGATTATTAAAAAACTTGATTTGAGTTGACGTATAAGTATAAATTTAAAACTTTGTATCTTAGAGATTAATAAAAGTGAAGATACCAAATTATACATATTTATTTAGAATTACATGGTGAATTTAATGCATCAACCCGTTTGTTGCTATCTCAATTTGTTCTTGAGAAATAAATTCCAAAAGATGATCGAAAAAATTGATTTGTGTTAACGTATTATTACAAGATTAACCTAAAAAATGCGTATCTCCGTGATTAATAAAAGTGAAGATGCAAAATTTGGTGGATTTATTCAGAATTAAATAGTGAATTTAATGCATCAACCCGTTTGTTAAAGTCTTTATTAGTTCTTGAGAAATAAAATCTCAAAGATTATTAAAAAACTTGATTTGAGTTGACGTATAAGTATAAATTTAAAACTTTGTATCTTAGAGATTAATAAAAGTGAAGATACCAAATTATACATATTTATTTAGAATTACATGGTGAATTTAATGCATCAACCCGTTTGTTGCTATCTCAATTTGTTCTTGAGAAATAAATTCCAAAAGATGATCGAAAAAATTGATTTGTGTTAACGTATTATTACAAGATTAACCTAAAAAATGCGTATCTCCGTGATTAATAAAAGTGAAGATGCAAAATTTGGTGGATTTATTCAGAATTAAATAGTGAATTTAATGCATCAACCCGTTTGTTAAAGTTTTTATTAGTTCTTGAGAAATAAAATCCCAAAGATTATTAAAAAACTTGATTTGAGTTGACGTATAAGTATAAATTTAAAACTTTGTATCTTAGAGATTAATAAAAGTGAAGATACCAAATTATACAAATTTATTTAGAATTACATGGTGAATTTAATGCATCAACCCGTTTGTTGCTATCTCAATTTGTTCTTGAGAAATAAATTCCAAAAGATGATTGAAAAAATTGATTTGTGTTAACGTATTATTACAAGATTAACCTAAAAAATGCGTATCTCCGTGATTAATAAAAATGAAGATGCAAAATTTGGTGGATTTATTCAGAATTAAATAGTGAATTTAATGCATCAACCCGTTTGTTAAAGTCTCTATTAGTTCTTGAGAAATAAATTCCCAAAGATTATTAAAAAACTTGATTTGAGTTGACTTATAAGTACAAATTTAAAACCTTGTATCTTAGAGATTAATAAAAGTGAAGATACCAAATTACACATATTTATTTAGAATTACATGGTGAATTTAATACATCAACCCGTTTGTTGCTATCTCAATTTGTTCTTGAGAAATAAATTCCAAAAGATGATCGAAAAAATTGATTTGTGTTAACGTAATATTACAAGATTAACCTAAAAAATGCGTATCGCCGTGATTAATAAAAGTGAAGATGCGAAATTTGGTGGAATTATTCAGAATTAAATACTGAATTTAATGCATCAACCCGTTTGTTGAAGTCTTTATTAGTTCTTGAGAAATAAAATCCCAAAGATTATTAAAAAACTTGATTTGAGTTGATGTATAAGTATAAATTTAAACCTTGGTATCTTAGAGATTAATAAAAGTGAAGATACCAAATTATACATATTTATTTAGAATTACATGGTGAATTTAATGCATTAACCCGTTTGTTGCTATCTCAATTTGTTCTTGAGAAATATATTCCAAAAGGTGATCGAAAAAATTGATGTGTTAACGTATTATTACAAGATTAACCTAAAAAATGCGTATCTCCGTGATTAATAAAAGTAAAGATGCGAAATTTGGTGGATTTATTCAGAATTAAATAGTGAATTTAATGCATCAACCCGTTTGTTAAAGTCTTTATTAGTTCTTGAGAAATAAAATCCCAAAGATTATTAAAAAACTTGATTTGAGTTGACGTATAAGTATAAATTTAAAACTTTGTATCTTAGAGATTAATAAAAGTGAAGATACCAAATTATACATAATTATTTAGAATTACATGGTGAATTTAATGCATCAACCCGTTTGTTGCTATCTCAATTCGTTCTTGAGAAATAAATTCCAAAAGATGATCGAAAAAATTGATTTGTGTTAACGTATTATTACAAGATTAACCTAAAAATTGCGTATCTTCGTGATTAATAAAGATGAAGTTGCAAAATTTGGTGGATTTATTCAGAATTAAATAGTGAATTTAATGCATCAACCCGTTTGTTAAAGTCTCTATTAGTTCTTGAGAAATAAAATCACAAAGATTATTAAAAAACTTGATTTGAGTTGACATATTGGTATAAATTTAAACCTTTGTATCTCAGAGATTAATAAAAGTGAAGATACCAAATTATACATATTTATTTAGAATTACATGGTTAATTTAATGCATCAACCCGTTTGTTGCTATCTCAATTTGTTCTTGAGAAATATATTCCAAAAGGTGATCGAAAAAATTGATTTGTGTTAACATATTATTACAAGATTAACCTAAAAAATGCGTATCTCCGTGATTAATAAAAATGAAGATGCAAAATTTGGTGGATTTATTCAGAATTAAATAGTGAATTTAATGCATCAACCCGTTTGTTAAAGTCTTTATTAGTTCTTGAGAAATAAAATCCCAAAGATTATTAAAAAACTTGATTTGAGTTGACGTATAAGTATAAATTTAAAACTTTGTATCTTAGAGATTAATAAAAGTGAAGATACCAAATTATACATATTTATTTAGAATTACATGGTGAATTTAATGCATCAACCCGTTTGCTGCTGTCTCAATTCGTTTTTGAGAAATAAATTCCAAAAGATGATCGAAAAAATTGATTTGTGTTAACGTATTATTACAAGATTAACTTAAAAAATGCGTATCTCCGTGATTAATAAAAGTAAAGATGCAAAATTTGGTGGATTTATTCAGAATTAAATAGTGAATTTAATGCATCAACCCGTTTGTTAAAGTCTTTATTAGTTCTTGAGAAATAAAATCTCAAAGATTATTAAAAAACTTGATTTGAGTTGACGTATAAGTATAAATTTAAAACTTTGTATCTTAGAGATTAATAAAAGTGAAGATACCAAATAATACATATTTATTTAGAATTACATGGTGAATTTAATGCATCAACCCGTTTGTTGCTATCTCAATTTGTTCTTGAGAAATAAATTCGAAAAGATGATCGAAAAAATTGATTTGTGTTAACGTATTATTACAAGATTAACCTAAAAAATGCGTATCTCCGTGATTAATAAAAGTGAAGATGCGAAATTTGGTGGATTTATTCAGAATTAAATAGTGAATTTAATGCATCAACCCGTTTGTTAAAGTCTTTATTAGTTCTTGAGAAATAAAATCCCAAAGATTATTAAAAAACTTGATTTGAGTTGACGTATAAGTATAAATTTAAAACTTTGTATCTTAGAGATTAATAAAAGTGAAGATACCAAATTATACATAATTATTTAGAATTACATGGTGAATTTAATGCATCAACCCGTTTGTTGCTATCTCAATTCGTTCTTGAGAAATAAATTCCAAAAGATGATCGAAAAAATTGATTTGTGTTAACGTATTATTACAAGATTAACCTAAAAATTGCGTATCTTCGTGATTAATAAAGATGAAGTTGCAAAATTTGGTGGATTTATTCAGAATTAAATAGTGAATTTAATGCATCAACCCGTTTGTTAAAGTCTCTATTAGTTCTTGAGAAATAAAATCACAAAGATTATTAAAAAACTTGATTTGAGTTGACTTATAAGTACAAATTTAAAACCTTGTATCTTAGAGATTAATAAAAGTGAAGATACCAAATTATACATATTTATTTAGAATTACATGGTGAATTTAATGCATCAACCCGTTTGTTGCTATCTCAATTTGTTCTTGAGAAATAAATTCAAAAAGATGATCGAAAAAATTGATTTATGTTAACGATATTATTACAAGATTAACCTAAAAAATGCGTATCTCCGTGATTAATAAAAATGAAGATGCAAAATTTGGTGGATTTATTCAGAATTAAATAGTGAATTTAATGCTTCAGCCCGTTTGTTAAAGCTTTTATTAGTTCTTGAGAAATAAAATCCCAAAGATTATTAAAAAACTTGATTTGAGTTGACGCATAAGTATAAATTTAAACCTTTGTATCTTAGAGATTAATAAAAGTGAAGATACCAAATTATACATATTTATTTAGAATTACATGGTGAATTTAATGCATCAACCCGTTTGTTG